TATCATGATCAGGATTCTCTTCACCACTTGCCAATCGTTTAACTAGATCAAGCTCAAATTTATACTTTTCTGGAACCGGTTTGATACTTTCTTCAATTTCCTGTTGTTTCCTGAAAATGGCATTCATCGTATGCATAGCTAATTTAACGTTAGTACAGGTTTGCTTTCTATATTACAACAAATTTAAATTGTACCGAAAAACCAGAGAAAATACAAAAAAAGCAAACATTAAAAATATGCATATTTTAAATTTTACAGCTAACCCTATTTTCTGTTTTCTTAAAAACAAACATCGAACACTAATAAATCCGAAATGCACCAACATATCCGTTTCAGTTCCAAATTATAACTCACTAACAACGATATTTATACATATATCAAACCTGCATGCTTCGTTTAAATCTAAACCAATCCAGTCGGCTTCTTCTAATGGTATTACAAACTGCGCATATTTCTCCTTTATATAATTGTGCCGCTCTGGATCATTTGGATAATAAGTACCTTTCGCCAAAACAAGAAGAATTTCACGCTTTAATTTATTGCCAAGCCTAGAAAATTAAAAAAAAAAAAATTGATGGAAGGAATTCAAAATGCTGAAATTATGATTATTGTAAAAGTGGATAAGTGAACTTGAAAAGTCACAATTTACTCACTTATAACAATTCATGATTCAAAAATATTAAATTACAATTATTAAATTTGGTTAATACTAACAATTGTGATTTTTAAACAGAAGAAATCATACTTTGAAGCAATATCAATTTCGGGAGTTTCTAACAAATATAAATCAAGCCCAAAATGCTGGTCAATTAGACGACATGTGCGCTCCGTCATGGTAATTTTCATATGTTTGTCTAGAACTTCTGAATATGTAACAACTTTTTTCAAACTCGGAAAGAAAAAATGCGGCACCCAATGCCTTGGTAAAATCTGAAATATAAATTTATTAATTAAGCAGCAGAATGAATTTATTCAATATTACTTTAAATTTTCTAACCAACTGATGTTACCTTCTTTTTAGTATAGGGACGCGATTCTATATAACCTTTCACTACTGTTTCACCACCCCATAATCCTTTATCAGCTTCTGGTGGATGAAAGCCAATTATCGGGTAATCCTGTAATGTATCATGTATAATGCCAAATCTGATGCTCATGGAAAAATTTTTGAGAATTTGGATACCAATAAGTTTTTTAAAGGATCTCCTATAGGAATCTCAGAATCTAAGGAAAATAAGTTGATGAGAAAGTTTAAAAACTAAGTGCTTGAAAACCAACTGAAAAGATTTTGAAAATCGTTCAATTTTGTTTTCCTTACATTTTCAATTTTATCATATCACTCATTAGAAGCATAAATTTAAATCGCGTAAATTAAGATCAAATGAAAAAAGAAAAATGCATGCTGAATTTTCATAATTTACAATTAACAAACATTATGCAGCAACTAACCTCAGTTTCTATCATTATACGACGTTTAGCATCCCATTCATATCTGGATGTTGGTTTCCGATAATGTACAGGTTTCGCTTCACTAAGTACAAACTGCAAACAATAAAAAATAAATCATAATCTGAACAACCGAACTACAGAGTACTTTATAGCATAATATTTCATTTGGAAAAATATTAAAATAAATAAATATATATATATATATATATGCGCAAAAACTACCTACGCATTTTCATCTGCTTTATTCACTTTATTTAACAAATTCATGAATTTTTGCCAACACATCAAATTTTTGCCTAAGTGTAATAAAGATCACATTAATTTGCATCTCTATTTCAAACAAATTTAATAAGTTTTTCTCAAATCAAACACAAAATCATACCTCCCAGTACCGTTTCTTATAATGATAAGGTAAACGATGTACAATAGAATCTTTATTGTCCCAAATCTCCTTATTTCGTCGTATACGCTCTGCACGGTCCCATGTAATTATCGGAAGTGGTGCCAAATTGGTTACAGCTTTCAAATTTTTTACCAAACATGAAGTTGTCATTGTTACCCTGAAATTTCATCATTTTTTCTTGTATAAAATAATCAAACGTAGAAACTGTTCAAACCAGAATAGGAAAAAAATTTGTCACAATTAAAAAAAAAAAAAAAAAAAACCTATTTTAGACAATAAATAAAAGATAATCCGTAATGCTTTCTATTAAGACATTTTCTATTTTTAACTTTCTTTTTTAAATATGATTTTTTTCCAAAACTTCATATCCTGACGAAATTACGTGTTATGTCGTATACGCTTAAATTCCATAGTCGTTCTGATGAAATTACGTGCCACGTGATACACTAAACGTGTATAATAATTGCGATGAAATTATATCTCAATTTGCATACACGAAATTTCTACAGCCATTCTGACAAAATCACGTGTCACGTGGTACACGTATAATCTCATTTCTTATCAAAACTCTACGCATAAACTTTATAAGTTTAAAAATAATTGATAAAAATGCAACAAATAAAAATAACATCGAAGTCAATCGCAACTCGTACGTATACCACCACGTCTTCAATTTCTCATATTTTGACGTTTATTTTGCTATTTTTTCTCAATCTTTATCGTCTCTTCTATAATAACGATATTTTGTTTCTGTTTTTTTCTCTCTCATGATTAGCTAAAAATAATATTCACAACTGATTTCTGTATTAATTTTACTATATTCATAACTAATTTACTATTATTCCAAATGATATTTATTTCTTATCATTTATATCAATCTTTTTTCAATGTTATCAGTAACAAAAAAAAAATTTTTCTAACTTTTAATACAGTAAGTAATAATATTTTTGTTAATTCTTATCAATTTTTACAATCTGTAATCATTAATTTATCTTAAATATTTCTATTCTCTCTCTTTTTCTATACTTTATTATATAATCTTTGACAGTAGTAATGATCGTAGTATTTCATTTATTTTTTTAATTTTTTTAATCTATGTTTCATCTTTTATTTGTTTATTCTTTTCTTTTTTTCCTCTCATTCTCTGTTATAACTGTAATCCATTATTATTTCAATATTCTCTCACACTTTCTGTCATTCAAGTATACTACCATGCTACCATTAAGATTTTCCATAAAAAATAAAAATTAAAATTAAAAATTAAACACTGCTTTATTGACACCTTAACATTGTCATAATTTGCTTGTTTAGAACAACAAATGCATATCATATGTTAATCTTATCATAACTACTTCAACTGATAACACTTCATGTACTGATTAGTTTATCAGTAAGAAATTACTGACCATACATTAAATATGGTCAATTTATTATCAAATTAAGCCACACTTGATAAAAATATTTTAAATAAAATTACATTAATTATACTGAATGCCTCATTTGTATGAAATTTAACATATTTACAAAGCAATCTTGAAATTTATATCTTATTATAAAAAATACTTTATCTTATTATCGAATTTGATATTTGTCAAAATAGTAATATTTCAATCAATTTGACATATTAGATAATTAAAGTTAATTTAATTTTATAGCAAAATAATATTAGCAGTTACTTTCATTTATTTATTTTTCCTTAAAATCCAAAAAAAAAATTCTCATCAATTTTTGAAATACATACTTTAATATAATGATATATTTTAAGATTTTCACAATAATAAATGATTGAACGATAATAAATTAATTATCTTTTGAAATAAAACCAATTTCAAAACATTTTCTTCTTTTTTTCGAGATGGAAATGGGACAATTTATCAACTTTATGCATGCACATCAGTGAATTTAATTATATTATTTAATAATTGAATACTTCATTTGACTCGGAAATGCATGGATACGTTGCCAAGGTAACTAAAATGAGAATTTCTGTAGTTTTCCGCGAAATTATATTACTATTGCAACGATGCATCATTATCACTAAAATCATAATTTTCTGTTGATTTTATCATAAAACTGATTATTTGAATTCATTATCATTATTCATGTACTGTTGTGCATATTTATATTAATTATTAAATTTCTTACTAATCCAATCTGCTGCTTATAATTTATACTAATTCCCTCTGAAGTATCATTGTTATTACTATTAACTACTATCACCAGATCAAAAGTAATTTCGATGATTGATTTATTACTTCCGCTATTTTTCACGCACGTGATATATTCAGCACATGTACCACTGCTATTTAATTATATTACACCGCATAACTGCTCTAATACTACTGCTTATTTTGACTCATTAAATTTTCAATGTCGCAATTGTAACGGAGATAGCATTGCTAGTTTCAATCATTTATACTGTATCTGTCCATCAGGAACCATCCAAATTTCTGATGGTACCTGTCAAAAATGTCAACAAGGTAAGTGTAATTTTTGCTTTATATTGTATTAATATATATATCGAACAAATTGAAAAATGTATGCAAGTAATCTATTGATGCGGTGCTTGCATGCAAATAATCTATTGATGCGGTGCTTGCACTGCAAGTAGTCTATTGATACGGTGCTTGCATTGCAAGTAATCTATTGATACGGTGCTTGCACTGCAAGTAATCTATTGATACGGTGCTTGCACTGCAAGTAATCTATTGATACGGTGCTTGCACTGCAAGTAATCTATTGATACGGTGCTTGCACTGCAAGTAATCTATTGATACGGTGCTTGCACTGCAAGTAATCTATTGATACGGTGCTTGCACTGCAAGTAATCTATTGATACGGTGCTTGCACTGCAAGTAATCTATTGATACGGTGCTTGCACTGCAAGTAATCTATTGATACGGTGCTTGCACTGCAAGTAATCTATTGATACGGTGCTTGCACTGCAAGTAATCTATTGATACGGTGCTTGCACTGCAAGTAATCTATTGATGCGATGCTTGCATTGCAAGTAATCTATTGATACGGTGCTTGCGTTGCAAATAATTTATTGAAAAATTTTTCACGTTTGATATTTACGCAAAAATTGTTACAATTTATTGAAGGGAAAAAAGTTAGCAGCGATGGTCACTTTTGCATTGATTGTTCAATGACAAAAACTGAAACTCAATGTTCTTTGTGTCCATTTCGACATTTCATGCAAAGAACAATATCATCTAATGGTACTATAATGACAGAAACTTGTGCAAAGTGTCCTGCTAATAACAAAGTTTCTACTTACGGTGATACTTGCATACCGTGTCTTAACACAGACGATAACTGTGAATGTCAGGTACCATTTCGTTTTAAAACTATGCAAATTTGACAAAGAAAAAAACATTTCTTGAAACATTCTTTGTTCTATTAAATAATTTTTTTTCTTACAAAATCTTCGTTTTCCAATATAAAATTACAAAAGTCTTCAAATATATTTTCAAATTATAATAATGAAATGACGCAATATTTAATTTCAATTATTTTAAAAATTTCTGAACTATTCCAAAATTGTGATTTTTTTTTAGGATGATGAAACATGTAAAAAAGTTGAAGAGAATAAAATGTTTGTAATGATTGAACTTGAAAATGGATCACAGGAAAGTTCCACCTATATAGCCAAGAATATCAGAAGAGTGACAAAAGGTTGTTCAAATGGCAATACACAAGCTTGTCAGCATTTAGCAAACATTTGTGTACTTCAAAATTATCGCATGCAAACAGCTTCGGCATGTACGGAATTCGAAAAAATTGCTAATTCTATCATTTATAAACGGTAATTCAACAAATTCAACAGTTGATAATAATTTACAATTTATCAGAATTTTCAAATGAGTTAATCTCTTTTTTTTTTTTTGTTGTATAAAATAACTTCGAACTTTAAAAATTTTTAGATGTTTTAATAATTTGAAACTGAAATATTTGCATAAATCTATCATAAGCTAGATTAACATTACTCTACTTTTATTAATCATTAATTAAATATTGCGATGAATTTTTAGAATAATAAAAAAGAAATAATAATAAAGCAATTTAAAAATAAAAAGTTTATAATTTTTAGGAATAATGGATTATTAACTACACCAATCTTATTTTATCACAATAGCGAAGCATCGATTGAACTATCACGTGAAACTGCTATATCAGCAAGTTTCAGTTTCAACATAAATCATCCAAATTCATTTTTAGAAATTATTCTAATTCAATATGCTCTAAATGGTACCTTCATTGGAATGAAAACACTGAGTGAAAGTAATCTGAATATTTGCTCACAACAAAAGAATAAATTTCACTTTGGAACATTTTATCAAATGCAATGTTTCATTCAACTTCAACATTTACTGCATCTTTCTGGTGGCCAACCTATTTTTAGTGATTTATTTATTGCATTCTTGAATAAATCTGCTCAAAAACAAATGTATGCTGTACCAATTTTAAATGAAAATATACGATTACATGGTGAATTTGTAAATCGTTTAACGCCAGATGAATTTTCTAATTCAAAATGGATCCTCACTCGACGATTATATTTTGTTGATTCAATTTCGCTGGACACTGCACAAAATTCAGCTATTATTCGTTATCCGGAAAAAATCGATATTAGAGTACAAATACAGGTTGTGAAATTTTTTAAAATACTATTATTTTTGTAATTTTTATGCATTAACAATAAATAGGGAATTAAATTTTAATTTCTAGAAACATTCAAATTCCATTAAAAAAAGAGAACTGAAAAAGATTTGGCCTAATTTAGTCTCAAAAAAATGGCCAAATAATGCCTCCATATGTACGAATCCGACATGCCGAAATACAGCGTAATCCGGAAAAGCAACTTTTGGTACAATTTGCTATTACTTATCATACGAATGAATCACAATTCTTCCAATACATCGAAATTGCACTATTCGCCTTGGCCGTCTTATCATTCATTTTTGCTGCTATACGAGCTTACAGGTATCATTGCTATCCATTTAACAAATTTAACATTTAATCAATAACTTTAAAAAAAAAAAGAGTAATTAATATTTTTTATAGTAATATTTAATTTTTTTTATTGAAATGCAAAATATTGGTACAATTAGTGTGATGTAATATCGAATAATTTTAGTTGGGGAAAACGTTCTGGAAAAATGATTATCGATGGTGCTACGCTTATCAAACTAATATTATTTGAATGTGAAATTTTAAGCGATGTATTTTTATTTGTTATTTTAACACCAACTCTATTCACTGTTTTTGCATATAAAATGCAACAAATACCACAATATGTAATATTTAACAGCAAACAGGTAAGAATTTTTCCTTTTTTAAATATTTTCTTAAAAAAGAAAAAAAAAAAGAAAGCTTAGTTTAGATTGACTATATTATAATTTACTTTATCAATAAAGTTTTAGAACTTAGTATGAAATTTAAAATTTGTTTGAAAGTGAAACTTTTATAAAGTTATAGTAACGTTCTAAACTTCAAATGTAAACCGTAATGACATCTGACCTTTCACAAAATGAATGAATTTTTTTTTTTTTTTCAAGGAAGAGATATTACTAAAATACATATTAGTAACAACGGTACTTAAATTGATCACTTTACTACACTGCAATGCTCATTTAATTCTTACCAAAACATTCTTCATCGACTGGGAACGACCTCATGTGACCTTTAAAACAAACAACAAAGCACCTGTCTCATCTGATGTCAGAGAGGATGTGGACATCACTCAACCTGTTATATGGTATGACATGATATAGTTAATTTAATTTAAGTTATTGTCTCAGATTCGATTTCTTTCAAATTAACTCAGTCTTATTTCATTTTTAAAAATTTTATAACCTCATTATTTATGAAAAAAAGAAGATCATACTCATAATACATTACATATTTATATTATATTTTATATTCTTATATCATATTATCATCCAACGATTATTCTATTTTATTACAACTCTCTCTATATTCGTGATTATTATTATCATTACTATTATTATTATTGTTATTATTATTATTATTATTTATTATTATTACCATGAAATTATTGTTTTTTATTCTGTCTGACTTATTGCAATTATTTTGATCAATTATAATTAGCTAAAGTTTTGAAATAATAGCAAAATTTGAGAAAAAAAAAAGTTTGATTTTAAGGCGAACATATCTCGTAGCAAATGAATGGAACGAATTACAAGATTATCGTAAAACTAGTGTCGGTTTACAGATGATCACTATGATTGCACTACTCAATTGGTTAAAACTTGAAAATTGGGCAGCTATTACACCTGGATTAAGTACTAGTAATATTTACATGTTGTTTAAATTTTTAAATTTTAATTTCTATTCCGAAAAAAAAATAGTGAAATTTGAAGTAGGATGCAATTATAAATGTTTAAATTTTAAGTACATAGTACAAAAGGTAAGAATAAACATGTTTTCTTTCCTAATAAAATGCCAAGAAAAAAAAAAGAATTATTAAATTACTTAAAAATTTTTCAATTTTACAAAAAATGTTAATTTTGAAAATTTCTAAAATCTATCAAAATAATAAATTTCAGATATTCCAGCATCCACAAAGAGTACAACATTAAGTGAATTGGCTATTATCAGTAGTATATACTTAACAGTATCAGTAATTCAATGGATTTTTCGTGTTACAATTGTTGAACAACTCTTTCTTGATCCATTTCACAATATGATCGATCTCTGTTCTATTTCAAATATTAGCGTTCTTGCGCTTACGCATCCATTGCATGGATACTACATACACGGACGTTCGGTGCATGATCAAGCTGATACTGATATGATTAAAATGAATCAGTATTTACATAGAGAGCGAGTAATACACCCTTTTTTTTTTTACATAAAAATAAAAATTTTGTAAATAAGATGAAATAATGTCATGCTATATGCATGTTTGCATGCTTATTACACGTTTATTAGACGTCACACGTCTATTACACGTTAAATATCAGCCATTAATATGCAAAATTATACACGTTTGAATCAATTGATTAACATAAAGATTAGAAATTTTATAATTAAAATGAAATAATGCCACGCTATATGGATGTTTGCATGCTTATTACACGTTTATTGGACGTCACACGTCTATTACACGTTAAATATCAGCCATTAATATGCAAAATTATACACGTTTGAATCAATTGATTAACATAGAGATTAGAAATTTTGTAATTAAAATGAAATAATGCCACGCTATATGGATGTTTGCATGCTTATTACACGTTTATTAGACGTCACACGTCTATTACACGTTAAATATCAGCCATTAATATGCAAAATTATACACGTTTGAATCAATTGATTAACATAAAGATTAGAAATTTTGTAATTAAAATGAAATAATGCCACGCTATATGCATGTTTGCATGCTTATTACACGTTTATTAGACGTCACACGTCTATTACACGTTAAATATCAGCCATTAATATGCAAAATTATACACGTTTGAATCAATTGATTAACATAAAGATTAGAAATTTTGTAATTAAAATGAAATAATGCCACGCTATATGGATAATGTTTGCATGCTTATTTCACGTTTACTAGACGTTCACACGTTTATTTAGATATTGATTATTAATATGCAAAATTATTTACATTCATATTATTGAAAAATGATTTCTCACAGGAAAATTTATGTGGTACACGTGGTTTGGAAGCAGGTAGTGGTCTTCAGACTTACATCGTTAATTTACCAAAAGCATTTCGTGAACAATTTGATGCTGCATCACAGGTATTGGAAAATGATATAGAACAATTGGATAAGCTTACCGCTGATCATTTTGATGCTACAACAACTAATATACAAAAAATTGCTAAGGTATTATATGTTGTATAATTAATATATGAAAGTGATAGTATTATTGATAGAATAGCATATGTAAGGAAATTACAAGTTCATAAGAAATGCAATAGTAGAAATATTTTAATTTTTATCAACAATATTTGAAATTGAATATTTTATACAAATAAGTTAGAAGTAATACAAATGATGTGCAATTAAATTAAATTAATAAGCATAGTTATCCTCAGAATTGAAAAAGAAAAGATTTGCATATTTTAGGGACATGAACAGTTAAATAATTTTTTAATAAAATTTATTGAACATAATAATCCACAAGCGGATTATATTATTAACGACACATCGTTACCTGAATTGTTATGTGATATCGAATTCACTGATTCATCGCATGTGGGCAATTTTATAAGGTTAGAGTAATATGCATATTTAATTAATCAATAACATTCGAAATTTTGACAGGATTAATGGATTAATTGGGATTAAGTTTTTGAGTCTTTTTTGTACTTTTAAGTTTTCACTTCTTTGAATAATTAAGTTTAAAAAATTTAAGTTTTTTTTTTTTAGTAAACAGGATGGTAAGTAAACAGGTGTGTATGAGTAGATGAGGGTTATGGTAGAATGTACGGAAAGATTACTGTAAGTGAAGTGACTTTTGCTACGGTAGGTTGTGAATGGCTAAGAAATCATAAATAAAATAACACTATTAGATGTATTTAGTAAGTTAAAGTAAACTTTAAGAAAGTAAGCGTTATGAATAATCTTCTTTCAGTCTTTGTCAAATAATAATTTAGTAAATTGAAATTGTTAAATCGATATATGAGAAAATGTAGTGCAAGTTTAGAGACACAAAATGCATAGTTTGAAAGATTATTTGGAATGCGATTACGAATTAGAAATTACAATTAATTAGGTTTATTAGAAATATAATTTCATGAAATTTTTATTTTTATATAATCTGAAAATTTAATCAGAACCATCCAAAAAAAAAAAAATAAAATAAAATAAAAATTCAAATTAAAATCATAAATTCTTAAAAAATCTTGACTTAAGTTGGAAAAAAATCATAATCAAAAAAAAAAAAAGACAAAACCAAAAAACGAATAATAATTATTATAACAATAATAACAACTCAAAATTTGATTGGTAATTAATTTATTTAATTTTGCAGAGATAAATCAGAAATAGCGTACAGTGCAGCGTTTATTTATGGAAACGAATGGGTTTATTTGTCGTTTGAATTATCACTATTTTGTAGTGTGTATATCTTCACAAGAAGTTATACATGTTCAGCTTTTATCACTTATATCATATCAGTTATTAGCCGAAAACTTGTCTCAACTTTTTTCACTAATCATCTAATTAAAAGTAGTTTTGTTGATCATCGATTCTTATTTTGATCATCTCCTAATTTATATTATTGCTAGCAGTATGGATTATGTTTTTGTCTACAAATATAATAGCAAAATTATTGATAAAATCAAGTGTTACTATTCAGAAATTCTGTAATATAAATAAAATGCTAAAATATTGAAGTTGAATTTGTTTGCTCTTAAAAGCATTTAAGAATTTTTAAAATTTTATAGAATATAAAAATTTCATGCAAAACTTAGAAATTAATGTTACATGTCAAGTGATAAATCATATAATTGAGTAGCCGAAATGAAATCGCATGCTAAAGCAAAATTCAATATTTTATCTGAGAAATTATGAAAAGACAGTAAACATTGAAATTGGAAAGTCGTAGTTGCTTTCTTAAAATTTGTATTTTTTTTTTTTAAAAATAAAGCATTCAGGGAAGGAACTTAAAAGTTTCAATATATATTTTAGTTTGAAATTTTCGATCGAAAAATTTAACAATTCTTTTTATTTAGAATGTTGCAAATGAATGCGTATTGGGTAACTCAAATTCAGTATATTGATAAATCTAATGGAGGAATTTAATTCAGATTCAAATTGCAGAGTATTTGAAATAAAATTTTTAGAAAAATTTCAAAGATACAAAATGAAGTTTCATTTCACTACTATCTAATTATACAATACTTTTAAGCTAAAATAATTGTGTAACTGGTGATTTGTACAACTTTGATGATGTAATAAAGTGGAAGTTTAGTTAATTTATGAGACTTTTCACACTATCTAGAATTTTTTTTTTTAATTTCAGTTCTTTAAGTAATTCAAATTATTGTTGTTTCTTGAAATTTCATCAGTTATAAATAGTTTGGCTTAAAAGTAGTAATATAATTAGAATAGAATAAAACCTAAATGAAATATTTGGCCGTATTCATTGTAGCTTATTGCAGTGAAGCATTTATAATCGCTCAATAATTTGATATTTCAAAAAAAAAAAAAAAAAAAACGAATTGAAATGTTTTAAGATTTTTTCGTTCTTTTTCTTTTCTTTATTCACAATTTTTATGTTGAATGGTTATGTGATTTGCAAAAGTAATTATAAGAAATAAAATTAAACGATCACAATTCCAAACAATTTGATAATTTTGCAAGTACAGTTTTCATTATTTACTTTTCAGCAGATTTGTTCATTTTAGTCCATTTTAATTCGTTTTTCATTTTTGAAACGAATGGAATAGTTGGAATAGTTCATTGGATGGCACAGTCCATGGAACGGAATATAGAAAAAACAGACTACAGAAAAATTTTTTAATGTCAAATTTACTTTTGGAAATTGTCGTAATTATGTAACGGTTCAAATTATATAACGAAATTATGTAACTGTCTAAATTTGTAATTAAAATTAATTTTATGGCCAAAAATTAATTGAAATCATTAATAATTGCAAATATTATTAATTTTCACATTGTAAGGTTGCGTTAAAGTTAATTTATTAAACTTTCTTTTTGCATAGATTACCAAATATCCGTGACAGCAATTTTGCAGATGAAGTTCAATGCAGATAAAATAATTAATTAAGTTCAAAATATGTATTCCATAGAATGGAGTAGTTCATGGAACGGAATAGTCCATAGAACGGAATAGTTCATAGAACGGAACGGTCTATAGAACGGAATAGTTCATAGAACGGAATAGTTCATAGAACGGAACGGTCTATAGAACGGAATAGTTCATAGAATGGAATAATCTATGGATCGGAACAGTCCATTTTTGGATTAAATTACAACGTTCCGTTTTTATTATATTCATTTTATAAATGACATCAATGTATCACTGTAGATAATATGCAATGTTTCTATTAAAAGTCCCAATCATTCCTTTTGTTTGAGAGAAGACGAAGAACTATCGAAACAGAAATTTCTTTTAATTTTATTTTCTAAATTAGTATGTTAAATAATAAATGAAATAGGCGGAACAGTTTGTGGCGAAGTGTCCCTGCGGGGATTCCTTTCATGGTTTACTCATAATCGGTGGTTGTTTATGCCAGCTGATATCAGAGAGTCCGGAATTTTGAACTTAATACTATCGGTTACATTCTAGTCGAGATTAGATTGACCTAGACAACACTTTGATTTTTTTGGCAGAGTCACTGGTTTTCATCGATTTAAGAAATTACTTATTACTAACTTCTCCAGTAAAGATTAACATATGTCTCTTAGTTTATATCTTATCAAATCTTTCGTTTCCTATTTATCTAATTGCAATAAGTCGATTAACTTCTCATTTAATCTCCTCCGTTGGTATGTAAACATTATTGTTTGAATAAAAATTTTAATGAATTACGAGAATTTTTAGTGCGAATTTTGTTTTGGACAAAGATCGGCATAGTGTTTATCAATTTTTCACAACATTTAATCATATGAATTCTTCAAAATGGACGTAATACCAGATATGGATGACTTATTGAATGAACTGGAAGCTGCTGAAACAACCCAAAAGCTGAAGTATAATGCGAATGACCCGGTAATAAACCCTAAAGTTGCCCTCTTAGCTTCTTCGAATGATTTTATTGATAAACAAAATGGCACTCATATCCTGCATAACGATCACATTGGTACGTTCATTACTGTTGGGATGTTTCACTGTCATATCATAAAAGTGTTTGAAAATTTTTAGAATAACCCGAAAACACAAGGAAATATTGCGAATGGCATTAAAAATGATAGATGATAAGTTAATCAGTTGATGTATAAGCTTCTTAAAAAACTTTGAAATATTTCAGAAGAAGTCAGCAATGATGCCGAAGCTACAAGCGTTTTATCTGATATTATCACTTCTTTATCATCGAATGAAAATGGGAGTTTGCAACACAATATGGAGGCAAACGATGTTATTGAAGATGTTACTGAAGTTCTGAAGGATTCAACAAATGAAAGGTCAATTTCGGCGGACACTGCTGACTGTAAGAAAGATGGAACGGAAGTTAGTTTTTGCATTCCATTATGCATTTTGCGCGAAATAATCTGTAGTAAAAATTATGGTGATACTTCGACTGTTCCAACTTAAAACTTTGAATGCAGTAAGTAAGTTTTGTATTTTAGCATGCCCGAAAAGTAAGAAACGTATGATTAAGGTGGAAGGCTCGAATGCAATGAATACATCTGGCAGTTTTGGATTTTAATAAAAATAGGAAAAGCAAGTTTTTTAAGCAAAAAATGGATTGGTGACTAAGATTGTTTGTACACATTTCAGTATTCTCGCATCTATTTATGTCGTTACGTAGGTACAAATTGTTATGCAAGATTTATCGGATTTGTTCAAGATTATCTTATTTATTTTGTGCCTGAATATATTTTGTGTTTTTCGTTTTAGAAAAATATATTTTGTGTTTTTCGTTTTAGAAAAACTACACAACTTTGTCCAATTTACCCAATTTGTTTCGACGAAACTTATTTCTTTTATTTTAGAATATATTGTCGAATCACTCGAGCTCATATTCTAGTGTTATTCTGAATGAATATAGATATAGAGAAACTAATTCTGGCGAACTCTTTAATAAAGTATGATTTTTAAGTTCTTTAATTTCCTGAACTATTTGTTATGGTTTGTAGTTTTTGATTATTTGATTGGGAGAAAGAAATTAATCATTGTGGGTTATCATCTGATGACGAATGTTGGGAGATCTTAAACTTTGTTCCGTATTTGAACGTATTGTTAGCACCACAACATTTTTAAAGACGCTCGAAAGTCATTCTTTTTCTTTGCTTGAACAGAGCACTTTACGAATAAAGTAGTTGTTGGGAAAATTTTAATTTTTTTAAAATAAATTCAGTTTTGTGAAAAAGATTTGTAGGTTACGGATGAAGTGGACAGGATAGCTGAACGATACGCTGAAATGGAACACTATTTGAACAGGTAAAATTATTAGATATGATTCGACTATATTAAATCTTAAAAATGAATGTAGTACTTTTTACATCTCTTGTTATTGATTATGAGCGCTGTATTATAGTTGTGACACGAACGACACTTCTATAAATATTTCGGAGCAGTCTGACAGAGAAGTTCGATCCATATTTCCTGCAGCGAAAGCGATTAAAGACGAAGTTATCAATGTAGAAGAAGCAGATAGGAAATGTCTTTCTGATGAGCTAAATTCCGATAGGAATTTTCGATCAGCTTCTGAACTGGAAAACGAAACGAATCGAGGAGTAAGAAATACAGTCGTGGAAATGGCTGTCGAAAACGTTATACCAGAATGTGAAGTAATCTTATGTACCGCCATTGATGAACAGCCGGTCGATGAAGTGTCACGTGATACATCCGTAACTGCGGGTGAAGATTCAGGCTTAGATGATACGCAAGAAGACGTCAGCGTATGTATTAATGGCAGTACCACGTTAGTGGAACGTCCGTCATTATCATCTTGTGCGCAGTCATCTATCACAGTAGAAAATATTGAAGAGAGTCAGTTATATCATTCTAAATCATTTCATAATGTCATTCCTTTAAAAGAAATTGTCAATGCCTTAGCTTTTCTATCCTTGAAAGTTCAGATATAAAATTTTAGAAGTTGAAAGTCTACTAATTAACACTGTTATATTTTTTAGCTATTAATGAAGTTGAAAAATCAAACAATGAAAATGATACAGAAAGGCGAGAAAATGATAATGAAGGAGAACAGCAATCAGAATTGGTAGAAGATAATAATGTTCATTCAGTGAATGAATGTGAAATACTAGCACCAATAGCTGATGAAGCGCAAGCTGTTTCCGTGGTTTCGAGCACGCATGATATATCATGCGATTCTGGCGTGAAATATTTGACTGAAAGCGAACGTCAACTTGGGAAGGCACGTAGAATTTTTCAAATTGTTGATTTTTTTTCCCAAATTAAGATTTAAAAGTTGTTGAGTAAAATTTTTTGCAGTGCTACTTTTTTTTTTTTTTGACACAAACTATGAATCGTTAATTGTGACAGTTTTCGCAAATTTTTTGTGTAACATTTGTTAACGTACGATAGGCACTCATATGCATGGATATTTCTAAAATGTTAATTTTGAATGAAATTCTGTTTTTCAGAAGAAACCAATATGGATAGATGATAAAGAAACGTTATCATGCATGTTATGTTGCATTAAATTTACAGTTTTCGTTAGACGACATCATTGTAGATGCTGTGGTCGTGTCTTATGTGCTCGTTGTACCACTCAGAAGGTTATCTATCCTTATTATTAAATTATCAGTTTTGATCTGATTTCTAATGAATTAACTTGCAAAAGTTTTTAATGGCAGATTTTTTGTTTTTATGTCATTTTTGTCTTTGAGAGGAAAAACTGTCATATATTCGGGTACTGTGGCAGTTACCGATATATAGAATAATATTTTTATTGTTGATCTTATTCATTATTTACCAACCAGTTCATTTCGACAACTGGTGCCAGAATTATTAATATGCTATTAATATTCAATTATTAAACTTTTTTTTTTGCTATTTCTTATTTAGGTTTTATTTTGATACATTTCATTTCTAACTAGGAAAAAAGCATAAATTTTAGTCACCGTTATCATATGTAAATAATCCAAAGAAGGAATATCGTGTTTGTGATCCATGCTTCGAAACATTAAAACGTATTGAAGAGTCCGAAAAGAATGCAAGAACGGGGTTAGTTTTCTTAATAAATGATGGAAGTACTAAATCAATAAGTGCGATATGTTACATAGATGAAACAGAAATGTGAAAAATTTTAAAAGTTATTTTTTCATGTTTTTCTTTGAAATTATCTTAGATATCCGTAAATTCATGAGGATTTGTTGCTAAATTTTTTAAAAAAATAAAGAGGTGAAAGAAGGATTTACTAATATAAGGGGATTCTGTGTCATTTCGTTACAGTGAATTAGCTGATATGAATGAATCTGGTCATTCATCAGATATTCCGGTTACAAAACCAGCGTTGAAAGTAAGAGAAAAATCAGAAAATATTATCAATACCAGTGATAATCAAGGTTCATTATCCAATGACGCAGCACGTGGTAACTCTTCAATAAAACGGAACGTTACATTCCGTGATGGTCTTCATCCAGGTTACAGTTCTAATGAAATTCAATCATCAACTACTGATATGGGTTCTTCAAAACCAAAGAAGGTATCTCTAAGTGAACTTTTCGAAGTTTGGTTATAAAAAAGGATTAATCCTTATTAAAATGAACTGCTGGAAATTTGATGGCTTTTATGGAATATTAATATCACTTTATATCATTTTCATTTTATTAACATACTTCATTTTCTTTTCATTCCTTCTTTACACGTAATTTATATAGCATGACTCGAGAAGACATATATCACGACGTTTGCTTCAACTTCACGTCGCTGATGAATGTGTATGCCTTTTGCCTGATATTGACTTAACTTCTAATGTCAAGGAAACATCAGTTAATGGTAATCAACATGCAGCAGTCGGAAATAATTGTTTATATGTGCGAAGTAATAATGGTTCCATAATAGAATGTGATAATATTCAAGATTTAATCACTTCGTTGAAAAATTTCGAACCAGCTGAAGTGATGATTTTTCGGAATTTGTGGTGTATTATCAAGTTATGTAAATGTGAGTCTTATTTTCTTTTCATCTTTGAGATTTTTTACTTCAGTTGAACTCATTATTTACCACTTTTTTATGTTTTTAATGTAACACTTTTGTTTAGGAATGTAACACTTTTGTTTAGGATCTCTTTTCGCTTTATTTGGAAAAATGGTTTCTTATTTATTGCGTCTAGTCATTTAAAGTTCATTAAATATATATATATATATATATTTTTTACATTAAATAGTATTAAATATTATTCCCGACTGCTGGCAGATTAATTTTTTGCTTTTGGGTTATATGGATTAGTCGGTGAATCAGACAGCTTATCTTTACATTTTTGATTGTTTGCTCAATCCATCTTTTAGCCATTGTTCAAATTTCACACTTAATATTTAACTTAGTAATTGCAGCAGTAGTTTCCTTTATCACACATTCTGATAAATTAAAAAAGAAAAAAAAAAAGAAAAGCCAGATAAATTAAAAGAAGAAAAGTCAAGAATTTTAGATGAAAATAAAACTGTAATGTGTATTATATCAAGAGGAATGTCATTTGTTGGATTAGACGAAATTTTCCTTGCTTATTACTGTGATACGGAATTCTTCGAATTACCAATCGATTATCTATGGAGGGTGATGATTTTTCATACTTTCGTAATTGATATGTGTAGTGCAATATGAAATGAAAATGCATAAACAAAGTAAATTATTGAGTGCTGAATCAACGAGAGTATAATGTGCGATTACATCTCCATATTTCGATAATTGAATGGTTTAATTCTTTATAGATATACGAAATTTATCAGGATGCATTGTCCCCACGCAGTGAATCATCAGATGAAGAATTAGGAATACGTTTATCGCATAATCGTACTCCATCACTGAATCGAACAATCCGATTCTCAAATTCTGATAAACCGGTAGCACGCGATATACTTCTGTTTAGACCATCTGTTCAGGTTCTGTCGTTGCTAGAAATTCTTTTTTTTTACTTTTGATGTTGAATTTTACAATTCAATTATTGATCCGAACTATGCTTATCAATCTTTTAGATATATATAATGAAAAAACTTTTTGGTAACACACATTATAAGTTGTTTGCTTATCAGAACTGTATCTTTTTTTTTTCTTTAATTGTAGATGGATTAGGATTTTAAAACAAGTTGTTTTAGACATTTGAAAATTTCTTAGTACCTTCTTCGTCATTTTTGGTTGCAACATTCATTTATCAGTGTGAGTCAATTTGGGCAACTGTGATACCACAACGGCTGCTTTTTAGACTTGGTCTTCAAGCTTCATGTACGTCATTAGCAATGATTAGAATTCAGTGATTTCATTTGATTCATTCAGATATAATTATTTATGAATCTTTTGATGATTCCTTTTAATCTTCAGTATTTCGGCCTACCACACATCCAATCTTTTTTTGGCTTGATTGAAACTTTATGAAATATTTCTTATAACTCTTGTATTTTTGTTACTCACGCAATTTCATAAATTGGTAAGATTGAATTTTATCGAAAACCATTCTTTCAAATTTTTGTAACTTTTTAGTTGGGAACTTAAACGAACCATTGTTGGACATTTTGTTAATACATACTTTGCCGTTGTTATTTCAGTTTACCCTACACCAATTATAAATGATTTGAACCGTGAACCGGTGTATAATTCAATATTTGATGCGAGTGTCTTGAAAATGTTCAATGATTTTCGAAATTGGCGTTTTCAAATGCCTTTTATATTGGGTAGCACATTAACGGTACGAGATAACAGCGAGTCTATTCTAATTATTCCAACTTGGGCATTGGAAGAGGTTTGATTTATTTATCATTCTGCTCTTTTTATATTTTATTAGGTGTTTCTTGTCCAGCATTCTTTTCCTTGTACCATATAAAAAAAAATTATTCGAGAGAGATTCATATAAAAAAATCTCTCTGTAGTTTAGATGACCACGTTGTTTTTGGGTAATATACTAACAATTGTTTCTTGTCTTTGCTACTTTTGTCTACATATGGTATTAACATAAGAGGTTTTTAAACTTATTGAGGTATTAATTTAGTTTTATTATTATTACTCGAGAGAGAGTGACTGGATACCGAACACTTGAAAATAGCAAATTGTGAAATATCTCAAATACTAAGCACTTATTGTCTAACAAAGTGTGCAAGACTTTTGTAGGACTAGTCATTTATTAAATAATTTTCAGATAATCAAGTTGATCAAAGAAAATAAAAATATGGTTGCATGGTGTCTTGATTTTAGTCCTGATGCTGATAGTTATCTTGTCTGCAAGCAAGATAATGCCGGTTGTTTCAACTCACAAATTTTCAGAAATGGCATTGGAAATCGAAAAGGTATTTGAAAGTTGCTTCATTTTTCCTCTAACTCTATAAATAACACATATTGCAGTAACTGGTGCTTCTTTTATTGTTATTGATGGAGCTTTGAAGGATGGTGGAGAACCACTTTCAGTGAATGTTTTAGAAGTAAGTTCATCTGATATATTTTAGTTAATTAGTTAAATAGTTCAATTAAGGATTATCACTTATTTAGCAAGTTCTTGTTAAGTCTTTGTCTTCATCAATGTGACTTACAATTTACAGAATTAAACTTGTCTCTCTAATGTGATCTTTAAATTTCACATCGTTTGGCTGCTCTAAAACCATTGCATAGTAAATATTTTGAATTTCCATTACTTATTCAAAATTCTTTTCATTTGCATTATCATCTTGCTCCCTGAATTAAATTTGTTTAAAGTAATTTTTTGAGGATGGTATGACAGTTCGTTTTCGATCGGATATAATGGAATCACTTATTGAAGCACTCTTGGTCGGGCAGGATTTTGAGCATGACTCACCGGCAATGAAATTTTCAGTGAAGTGGGATAATGATTCATACAGAGAGCAGCCTATTGGTGGATTGATATCTCCAATTGATAATCGTTCATTAATTGTTTGTTGCTCTGATTTATTCAGCATATTATTATAATTTCATTTTTTAATATTTAATAGGTATTTTAATTATTAATATTTGTACTACTCTAATACTTTAATATTAGTACAACAGGCATACTACATAGCATATTTTGTTGACGAACGTTTCTCTTAGAAAACATTTATCCGATATGTTTATCATGGCAAAAAAAAAATTGTTGAGTTATATGATATAGTGATAATATTTTATCTTGTATTTATTGAGATTTTCAGAAACTTTTGAGCTAAATAGTTATAGGGTTGTTATCAGTATGGTTTAAAAAAATCAAGAATTTTGCGATCATCACATCCAATACCGAATCAAATGTATTGGTCCCTTAGATTGGTCAGTGTGTACAATGTTGCAAAAGGTCGCTTCATCCAACGTGTCCAGTCAAAAGTTTTCAGTGTTAGTGAACAAGTTGTTGCGCAAATTGCAACAACATTAGCACCTTTCGCCACTGCTCTCATAGAAAATGATTTGAGGTTTTTATTTTGTTTTTCTTTCAATTCTATTTCGGTTCTTGCAAAGATTAACGACATTCAATAAGTCGTAAGTACTGTCTAATAGTTTTGCAAAAGCTAGATTTGAATATTTATTTTATTGCACTGACAATCAATGATAATAGTTGGTTATATATCGTTAATCAAAAATAGCAAAACAATCTTGAAATGAATGAAAATGAAACTTTCAAATGAATGAAATGAATGAAAATGAAACAGGAGGACATTGTCCTGTCCCCCTTATAAATTAATGAAGTCAAGGATCTTAATAATGAATGATGAAAATTAGTGGAATGGTTGAACTGATTGCGCAAGTTGCTGAACGATTATGGTATTTTATTACTGAATGATACGATCCATAAAATGGTCGAAACGGTTGCATCATTAATAGATTGAATACTGTTTTTTTTTTTTTCATAAATTTTTTTCAGGCATATCTTCTTTCGTATTCGTGTCACTACAGAAGATGCTGAATATAAGACACAACCTTGGCCTGGTATGCAAAAAGAATTTGCTGCATGGTTAGATTTCCTGGATTATCAGGTTTGTATTGGTAATTGTTACTGTCAAGTTAGTATTTCCATTATTTTAATAACATCTATTAATTAAACTGATGAGCTATAGGAATATTTTTAAAGTTCAAATCATATTTTCCAAACATTGATGTTTATTTTCTTCCACTATGTTAATTATGCATTTATATTTACAGGTAGCACCAGGATTATTCACCGTTTGTTCATATGTAACACTTGGATTTCATGCTGAACTTCATATGGCTTTGATTTCAGTTCGGCCAAACCCATAATATTTGTACTTTTCTTTCAACTCTGCTTGTATTATTATTCGATAGGTAACTGTGTAAGCAAATATCTATATTACTGAATAAATTATGTTGATGGTGATGTCGATATGAGTAAATAGCTAGTTTGTCTCAAAAACTAGTTAAATTCCTGACAATTTTTGAAATTAATTAATTAGTTTCCGGTTCTGACTTACATTTCTTTCTCAAGATTTACTTGTTTGTTAATTTGTTTATTTTTCCCTTTTCTATTAATATGTATAGGTGACGATTGATTCAGAAATACAGAAATGGGTGATCTTTGCTGTTAGCTGTACAGTTTCATATCTAATTTTTCTTCTTTATTCATTCCTTGTTTATTATCATTTTTTTTTTTTTGCTTATTTTCTGTGCATTATTATAAGATGTATAATATCCTTTCCTGAAATATGCAAGATATTACTCAGTGAGAATTATTTCACTTGTGATTTCTTGTGTTATTGCATTGATTCATTCTAAATTTTTGACATTTATCCAAAATAAAAACTCAATAATCTAACATTTTCTCTCTAAATATTATATTAAGCTTTCTACAGCAAAAAAAAAAAAAAAAAGATTTTTTTTTTCTTTTAACAAATTATTTGAAACAAGCAAAACATAATTGTCATTTCTTTTTATATTCTGCAATGGCTGATAGTTATTATGTGAATGTGAAAAATTTTTGAAATTGATTTCTTTATTATCAATTATACCGGATTATCTTGTCAATGAATCACAACTATACTGATTTGAACAAAAATGTGATCATCGATTATGCTTGAACATCTCATTTGAGCATTCCACTTGCTCACAAGGTGGGTAATCATAATTATTATTCAATTCATTGCATTTCCACATATTACCCCAATGAGCAAATATTAAACGACATGGTAGTTGTTCAGGCATTACAGAATGATGCGTTACAAGCATAGGTATTGATTGGAAATATTTGTTTGAACCCTGTAAATTTGAAATTTAAAAAAGAAAAGTTTGAATAGTTTACTTTTTTTAAACATTTCTTCTAAAGCTATTTGAGTTTTTTCTTTTTTTTTTATGATTCAAGATTAAATGATTTCTTGAAAATATAAAAGATAAAAAAAAAGACCCTTAATTTAAATCCATTATCATTTCGAATGATAAGATAATGTGATACACCAGTTGGATTATGTCGAAATGGCACTCGAACACTTAATGCCAAACATTTTCGTTTTGATTCAGAAAACCGAACAACAAATGCACCTTCCGGTTGCTCTAATAAAGCATCTATAATTCGATTCCTATAATCAAATAAATTGTAATATTTTCCTGAAATTCAAAATTTTTGGATTCATTTCAAAAACATTCATCATAATAGCAGTGAGAGAATGACAGATATTTTCAAGATATTATTGTGTCAATTATTGATTGTATTATGATCTAATCAAAGTAATAATTGGTTAATTAAAATAATTATTATATATCAGCGAAAAAAGAAAATCACTGATTCATATGATTTATTGTCATTCTAAATTACTTTAATTAATAATTTGATTACATTTTCACTAATTCAGTTCATTTATTAAAAACTTTCATTTATAATATATTTATTTATTTATTGTTAATTATTATTGAATGTAAAAAGTGTAGGAATTTTTGATTACTTGTGAAAGTAAAGTAATTAATCCGCATGAATTGTAAAATTTCATTAATTGCTAATTAGATGAGATAATTAATTAATTAATTATTGCATTGTTTGCATCATAATAACACGCTACACTAACCGATGTGCTGTTTTACAGAAATATGCGACCTGTTCCAATTGTTTCTCCAATATTTCATCAATTGGATAAATCCATTCGGTCCTGGAAAAAAATTTTTTCTTAAACATTTAAAAAAAAAATTAAAACAAATTAGAAATTTTCTTTCTTTTTTTTCTTTTCAAAATTATTGTTTTATTCGTCGAAATTATTAATTGTAATATTTTGGAAAATTTTAAAGTAAAAACTTGACAATATTTTGTTTATTTATACAAATTTCTTTAAAAATTTGTTATTATAATAGTAAAATAGATATGATTGTTGAGGAGAACATTTTTTAAAATTTCATTTAAAGCAAATTTTTAAAATTTCAAAATATATTGATTGAAAAAAAAAGCACGATGAAATTCTACCTTCATATATGTTCTCATAATTTGTTGACAATAAAAAAAAAAAAAAAATTCCAATATTTTTTTCAGCGTCATTTTTTTTTAACATTTTCCATATTAAAATCTTTCATTGTAAATTAATTAGTGGAAAATTTTTAGAAATACAATCCATTTTGTTAGTTATTTATTTCAATTATTTAATATACTCTTTGATTAAACATTAAAATTTTGGAGTTAACAAAATTTGAAAATATATTTCAAAAATTTCTATCTAATCGTTTATTTCTAGTTTTTCTTTTAAAAAAAAACAAAAGTATTACTTACAAACGTTCATCATAGCATAATGATAAAGTTGTTTGAGTGTGACGAATTGGACGAAATACCTCTTCTTGTGTATGCTGGAAAAAAAAAATTAGAAAAAGAAATTGTAAAATTTTTTTAACTTTTTAAAATTTTCAAAATCTTCTCCCAATTACTATTAATTTGTCTTGTTATTCTAATTTAAACTAATAAATTTTATTCTAAAAATGCAAAATACAAAAAAAAAAAACTAAAATGAAAAAATTTGCCAAAAAAAAAAAAGAAAAATAATTACTACAATATAAATAATATCTAAATATACATATATCTACCTGTATGGCAATTTTTTTTCATAATTAAAAAAAAAATTAAATAATTAATTTAAATTATAAATTACTGGTGTGGAAGTTTGTGGTGTAAAAATGTGTTGTTGTAAGTTAGCTGAACGACGATGATGTGATTTTGTGGTGGTGACAGCGGTAACAGATGTCGAAGATGATGGTTGACAAATTGATACAGGCCTTTCTAGCTTTCGTGGTGTATCGGTTGATGAGAACTTAAAATTCATTTAATTTAAGTTATATCTTTTTTGTTTTTAAATTTTATTATCAATTTTTTAAATCATATATTAATCAATGTATTACTAAATTTCTCATCTAAAAAAAAATATAAAACAGATAATTACAACTTGAAATAATAATGTAATTTATTTGTGTTTCTTTTTTATTTTTTTTTGTAAAAATATAATTTGTAAAAGTTAAAAATTAATTGATATAAAAATATTTAGCCTTTTGTTTAAATTTTTCTTTTTTTTTAGTTATAGTAATTATTTTTAGAATGAATAATTTCATAAATTAATCTGAAATTGCTAAATATTATACAATATATTAAGGAAAGTTAAACAAATAATATTAAATTTTGTCCAATAGTTTAAATTTTTAGATGTAAAAAGTTAATTTGTATAAGTTAAAATTTAATTGATATGAAATTATTTACACTTTTGCTTAATTTTTCTAATGATTAAATGGATAAAATAATAAATGTTATAAATTTACAATTCATGTATTTATATTCGTTTCTTTTTTTTTTAATAAATAAAATGAAATGATCTTAATGGATCAATTAATAAATCAAATTTTCAATAAAATTTGAAACTTTCAAATTAATTTCGACATTTCACTAATAAAAATCATGCGGTATTAATCATTCTATTATCAGGAAATTATTCTTTTTTTTTTTTGAAGTATTAAATGATCAATCATTATTGGTCGTAAATAACGGCTAAATAAGTAATGCAAAATTTAAAATTCATTAATTCTATGATTATCAATCATAGCTATCACTTATCATAAATATGTCATAATTTTAAAATGTTTCAAATGATTTGTAAAATTTAAAACAAATATGAAAGACATTTTCCCTTACAATGATAGTTTTATGAATACACTATGAATATAGCAAGTAAATCTTAATTAGAAGTAATAAAAGTTCTTAATTAGAAGTAATAAATAAATAAAAAATTTTCACAATAAATTTAATTAAATTTTGATGTAACTGAGTAAAAAATAAATGAAATTTCAAGATAATTATTTTAAATTTAAAAATTTTTCTTCCAATCAATTAAAAGTAAATTTATTCAAATTTAAAAAAAAAAATGTTTTATATAATAATTTTCATAAATTGTAGTAAAATAGATTTTAGGCAAAAGATCAAACTCATCGAGAAATTAAATTATGTTAAGAATAAATATTGACATTTATACAATTAGCGCCCATCTGTTAATTACAAATAGCGCATGAATTAAAGGAAATGAAATTGTTATTTATCTTATAATAAATTATAGACAAGAAAAACAATGATATATTGAGATATTTTTTGGGAAATTTAAATTATTTGCAAAATTTGCTAACTTTTATAATTTTGGTTAAGGAAAAAAAAAAGTGAAAAATTTGTGGGAATTATCTCTGACAGATATAATTAGCAAAATAATTAGTAAATTACAATCGAATAACAATAATTGTTTAAATTATATTCAAGTAATGATAATCAAATAATAATATTAAAATTATGATCAAATAATAATAATGATTAATCCATTAAATAATAAAGAACCGATTTCTTTTTGTTTTTTGCTTCAATTTCCTTTATATTATTTAAATTCTGATTTACAAAATTTAGAATTAATTGTTAAAATTGCTTGTTTTGTTTATTATATAAACATAAAATTAAAGGAAAATCTTTTGGAACTAATTAAATTTTACAGTCTTATCATGCCAATTATTAAGATCAAATTATAATCTTATCATTGCTTAAGAATAATAAGTATTTGAGTAAACCATTCTATTTCATTAGTATTAATGCAATGTAAAGTAATGAATTCTTCTTAATACTTCAATTCTTATTTGATCAATAATTATTCCATCGTTTTGAATTAGTAAATATTACTTATTATTTGATCATTAGTGATTCCAATTTATTAAATTTTAAAATTAAGTGAAGCCACTATATTCTATTGTCGTAATTTTCCCTAAAATCTCGTAAGTTTCATTTTTATTTCTCTCGATATATCCTCTTATCATCACTATCATTAGTAATAACTGGCAATATTTATTATTTATATCATTATCATCAGTATATCTTATTTATTTTGTTATATCACTATTATAAACAATTAAATTATCAATTATCATTATTTGTATCACTATCATAAGCAAATCATCTATCATTTGACATCGTCACTGTTGATTTAATTAAAAAATATATATATATCGCAAAAATGCGATTAACAAGTATTATTATTAACAAATAACAATATTATTATTATTATTATTATTATCACTTATCACTTCCAGCTTATCAGTTCCGATTTCTCGAAAAAAGAATTTAATTAAAAAAAAAACAATTAAAATACCCGTTTGTTGTAAATTGAAGCAGATGAAAGTCGATGTAATGCTTGACTGAATACAGCACTAACTGGTCGTCGACGTTGCTTATTATTACTCTTTGTTGTTGTGGCATTTTCCTTATTGTTTGAGCTAATATCAGTTCGAGATTTACCGAAAAGACGATTGAGAAGAACGGATGATGTTATATGCAATTTACATTGTTCAATTGTAGATGGATGACTAGTAGCAGCAGATGATAATGTTGGAGTATTTGTTGATAAGCGATGTTGTTGATGTATTGTTGTAGCAGTTATTGGTGTAGCAAAATGTGATGAAGATAATTTTGCTGAATTTGATGAAGTTAATTTTGCTGAATTTATAAGTGGTGATGATGGTTTAATAAGTGCTGATGCTTGAAAAGCATTCTCAAGAATAGATTCTATTTCTTCCACCTGAAAATTTTTACAATTTGTTTAAAAAAAACGAAAAACGAAAAAAATTTTTAACTATATAAAAAAAGAAAAATAAATTTGCTATGAAAAATGCTATGATTATTCCATGAAAATATAAATAATAAAAAGATTGTTAAATTAATTCATAAATTTTTGCTTCAAATTTAAAAAAAAAAATAAATAAATTTTTTGAAAAATTTTTGATTTGTGAAATTTTTGAAAGAAAACTTATTTTAATTATATTATTTACTTATATGATAATAATAGACTTTAATTTCTGTCATTTTTTTCTCCTCTTTTTTTCTATTCGATTATATAATAATAAATATTGAAATATTATAAATTCATTTCATTTTACAACATTCAGTTAATTCTTTTTTAACATTCTTTAATATTTAATTATCATAAATTCTTTAATATTTAATTATCATAAATTCTTTAATATTTCTTTAATATATAAAATCTTTAATATTTAATTATCATAAAATTTAATTTAATAGCTGTGTAGTGAATTTTTAATATCGTTGAAATTCTTGTAAATATTTATATGAGAGTAGAAAATAAGAGTGAAAAGTACGTTCCATACTTTTTACTTTTATTTTTACTATATTCTTCAGAATTGTTCGGAAAATAATATTTACATTAAGCTATTTGTTTCAGCATGTTTATTGTTGTAAACCCTTTAGAAATTGTTTACACGAAATCACTTCCTTATTTAGTTAACCTCATTGTTTGTTTCGTTACTAATTGTAAATTATCCTTGAATCTATGCGGCTAACAACTTCCGTTTAACTGACCTCCTTTGAGACTTATCAACTAGTAATTAGATTTGATTGTAAATCAGGTCAATAGCTCTTTGTTAGATTAATTTCCCTTTCGGCAGGTCAACTTCTTGTTGTAAATCATATGTATTGCTTATGCTACACAAAGAGGTCATTCATGTTCAGTGGTATTGAGTTCTGTCCAAGAATTAGGAGAGTTCAACCAGGAGACAGAGTTCTGCCCAAGAATGAGGAGAGTTCAACCAGGAGACAGAGTTCTGTCCAAGAATTAGGAGAGTTCAACCAGGAGATAGAGTTCTGTCCAAGAATGAGGAGAGTTCAACCAGGAGACAGAGTTCTGCCCAAGAATTAGGAGAGTTCAACCAGGAGACAGAGTTCTGTCCAAGAATTAGGAGAGTTCAACCAGGAGATAGAGTTCTGCCCAAGAATTAGGAGAGTTCAACCAGGAGACAGAGTTCTGCCCAAGAATTAGGAGAGTTCAACCAGGAGACAGAGTTCTGTCCAAGAATTAGGAGAGTTCAACCAGGAGATAGAGTTCTGCCCAAGAATGAGGAGAGTTCAACCAGGAGACAGAGTTCTGCCCAAGAATTAGGAGAGTTCAACCAGGAGACAGAGTTCTGCCCAAGAATTAGGAGAGTTCAACCAGGAGACAGAGTTCTGCCCAAGAATTAGGAGAGTTCAACCAGGAGACAGAGTTCTGCCCAAGAATTAGGAGAGTTCAACCAGGAGACAGAGTTTTATCAGTAGACAGTTATCACAAAAAGGGATTTCCATTATTTGTGCATCAATTTTTTTTTTTTTTGTATGTAAGATTTTTCTTTATAAAATTTTTTTTTCTTCTTTTTTTTTAAATAAAATTTATTATATTATTGTTTCTGTTGATATTATATTTCTCTGTTATCTCATATTAGCATTTACATCCAATGAATCTCCCCAAGGACAGTAAATAAATCTTTGTAAATCTTTTCCAAAATAATAAAAGCATCTATAAACCGAATTTAATTAAAATTTAAATAATATTACATTTGATTTTGAGATTCAAAAAGAAAAAGTTAAATAAAAATGGTAAATTTTGGAGGGTAAAGAGGGGAAAAAAGATAGAATTTTAAGCGTATGTAAACAAACAAAGCAAAATTAGGAAGAATTTTCTTTAGAAGTTTGACTCAAATAACAATCGAATACAAATGGATGATGTTTTATGTAAACAGTTGTTTAAAGATATACCCTCTCTCTTTCTCTCTCTCTCTCTCTCTCTCTCTCTCTATCTCTTTCTATCTCCCTGTTCTATCCTTTGTTTTATCCTTTCTAACCGTTTTGCTTTCTCAGACTCATAAATTTGCAAGGTTAAAGTTCAATCATCTTCTTTGAAATATTATTTTTACTGATAATTTTTATTACATATTTATTTTTGCTATTGCTCAGAAATTATTTTATAAATTTGTAAAGTTAAAATTTAACCAGCAAAAAGCAAAATAAAAAAAGAAATTATTTTTCCTTTTAATTCTTAAAATTTAAATTTTTATATCTGTTATTATTACAGACATAAATATCGAATTAAATTATTGATTAGAAAAAAAAAAGCACCGATTTATCTCGTTTAATAAACTTTTGTAATTTTTGAATGTGGAATATCATATGTAATATTTGATAAAGATATATTAAATATATCATGAAAAATATAAATATTGATTAAAACAAAAAATATAAATACTGATTGACATAAAAATTATAAATACTGATTACCATAAATATAAATACTGATTAACATAAAAAATATAAATTGCTGATTGACATAAAAAATACAAATATTGATTAACACCAAAATATAAATACTAAAAACATAAATACTGATTCATAAAAAATACAAATACTGATTTATGATACTGATTAACTTATAATAGAACTGTAATACAATTTTAATTTATTCCAGCAATTTTTAATTCCAATATTGATCTGGCAATAGTGAAGTACTAATCAATTAATAAATAAATTCCATATAATAATAGCAGTAAATCATAAATGACAAATGCTAACATTTCTAAGCATTGTTAGCTTAAATTGCTCATTTAATTTTTTCTTTTTGCAAAATGAAAGATAGTAATAAACAAAATAATTTTAAATTGTTTCAATCTGTTACAGTATTTATTGCTCATATACAAATAGATTAATTAATTAATTAATTAATTATTTCCAATTCAATAATTTCATCAATTTATCAAATAATGAATGTATGATTTATGTTTAGCAATTTTCTTCATAGTTCTATTAAGCAATAAATTAACGAAGCTTAAAATTTTTAATAAAATTTTCAAAATACTTTTTTTCCAAAAATAATTTATTACACTCATTAAACGAAAGGAATAATTTAATACAATGATAAAATATATGATATTTTTTACTTTTTTTTCTTTCAATAATTACATTAAAAAAAAAATTGTTAAAAAATTTTAATTTACATAATTTTTTAATTTATATAATATATATATAATAGATAAAAAAAAGTCCTGAAGAAAAGTTAATTTAATAAAATTTATTTTTTATTCATATACTACCAGTTAATATAACTTAAATATTTAAGTTAATTAATAAAAATTTATTTTTTATTCATATACTACCAGTTAATATAACTTAAATATTTAAGTTAATTAATAAAAATTTATTTTTTATTCATATACTACCAGTTAATATAACTTAAATATTTAAGTTAATTAATAAAAATTTATTATTCATATACTACCAGTTAATATAACTTAAATATTTAAGTTAATTAATATTTATTTTTATTCATATACTACCAGTTAATATAACTTAAATATTTAAGTTAATTAATAAAATTTTTATTCATATACTACCAGTTAATATAACTTAAATATTTAAGTTAATTAATAAAAATTTTTTATTCATATACTACCAGTTAATATAACTTAAATATTTAAGTTAATTAATAAAAATTTATTTTTTATTCATATACTACCAGTTAATATAACTTAAATATTTAAGTTAATTAATAAAAATTTATTTTTTATTCATATACTACCAGTTAATATAACTTAAATATTTAAGTTAATTAATAAAAATTTATTTTTTATTCATATACTACCAGTTAATATAACTTAAATATTTAAGTTAATTAATAAAAATTTATTTTTTATTCATATACTACCAGTTAATATAACTTAAATATTTAAGTTAATTAATAAAAATTTATTTTTTATTCATATACTACCAGTTAATATAACTTAAATATTTAAGTTAATTAATAAAAATTTTTTATTCATATACTACCAGTTAATATAACTTAAATATTTAAGTTAGTTAATAAAAATTTATTTTTTATTCATATACTACCAGTTAATATAACTTAAATAATAAACGTACCAGTTAATATAACTCAAATATAATGAATACCAATTTCTTTATTAATCTATTAATGTCTAATTTAATTTCATTTACTCCATGTAAAATTTGCTTTTTTTCTCACTTCAATTATATAAATTAAATTTTTTTTTTCACATATAAATTATACAAATTAAAAAGTTGTGGATGAATTGAAAATTTTAAAATTTTATGAAAATGGAGAAAAAAAAAAAAAGAAGAACGGTAAAGAACTGAAAGATAATTACTACCTGATGTGATGATTTAGTCCTAAACAGGTGACACAATCTTCTGTACACTTGACCCGATGGTTCTCGAGCAATATATGCCACCTCGTGTCGTTCTGTTCGACCAATTACACAATTTACTCGTCGAATTGATTGACAAAATAATATTCGCTAAAAATAAAAACATTTCAAATTTATTTATTAATAATAATTCACCTTTATCATTTTTATTTATTGCTTTTTTTATTAAATAATTAATTAACTAATTTCTTTCTTCATTTATTTAATTTATTCATTAACAATTTCAAAATCTAAAAAACATTTTATCGAAACTATTACCTCTCTCTCTCTCTCTCTCTCTCTCTCTCTCCCTCTTAATTAGATTTATTTCTTATTTATTTTGTTGTTTGTTTAAAATATTTGCACATATTTAATAAGTAATTTGATTCTTTATTTATTCATATACTTCAAACATATAATTTGTTTTTCATTTCAAATATTTAGCAGAAATATCTGTTTGTTAATTTATTTGTTTAATATTAATATTTCATTAAATTTCTTTCTTTCTTTTCTTCCTTCTCTTATTTTTCATTCTTTTATTGTTTATTGCTTAATTGTTTATTCTTTTATTGTTTATTGCTTAAGCATTTATTGCACTACAAAAAGTAAATAAATCATTTTGTAAAATGTTGCAAATATCTATTTGTCCTTTTGCAATTGTCCTTCGTTTCTTTTTTTTTTTACGATCGTCGGACAAAAAATACCAAAGAAACTACGAACGAATAATTTTGCAATTTTACAATCAAAAATTCTTTTCTAATTTTTCATTCAATTATTTTAATTTTTTTACCTTTTCTTTTCTTCATCTAAACAACCTTTTTTTCCTCCTATCCAATTATAAAATTAGAAATAAAAATTAGTTTCATTTAATAAAAATAACAATTTCAAATTTTTAAATATTACTAAAAATACTGAATGTATATTAATGTGAATAACAAATATTATCAATGTGAAATAATAAATAAACAAAAAAAAAACACACAAAAAATAAAAGTTTTTACTTTTAATTTTATTAAAATTAAAAAATTTTCATAAATATATTTTATTTATCAAAATATCAATAAAAATTATGCATTTTTGAGTAAAAAAAAAATTTTTAAATAACAAAAAAAAAAATGAATTAATATTCATTTAATAGTTTAAAATTATTTATAATGATTTATATATATTATTTATGTTTATGAAATTAAATTGGATTATCAAAAATTTTTGCTTAACTATCGGTGACAGTTAGCTAATGTTAAATAAATAAAACTTTATGAAAAAGTTAAGTGAATTCTATCTAATTCAAATCAATAACAGTGCTATCAATGGATTAATTTAATGAAATAATAAATTATTTGATACAATATGATCAATCGATTGATCTCAATTTTGATTGATCCTGGATTACTGATCTCTTTACTTACAGTTTTACTAAATAAGATATGATCTTTCTAAAAATTTTTAATTTTATACTGTTCACTTTTATTTTTAAGAGATGATAGTATAATTTAAATATAAGTTGTAATTTAAATTTGCAATATGCATGTAAAACCAAATTTTTATGATAGCGAAATAACTTTATAATATTTAAAATTATGCAACTTATGAAAATAGAAGTAATGTAATTTTAAATTTTGAGTATTATATGTAAAAATTAAATTTTAATTTGAGTGGATGCATAATTTAGGTTTTGTAATTATCAATATGTGTATTTAAAAATTGAATACAATAATTAATTTTAAAAAAAAGATCCAAAAAAAAATTTAAACTTCGATTCTTTATTTTTTTTGTTTCCAAAATTAGAAAGGTTATCACCTTTTTTTTTTGAATTTAACACAGATAAAAATGAAAAATTAAATTCCATTTCAATTTATAATAGTATAAAAATTCTAGTTTATTGCATGAAAAAGTTTATAATTTTAGAAATATTTTTCTAAAATGTTTGATATAACAATTTTAAATTGAAACTAATAAATTCCAATCTTACAAATTCATTCATTTAAAAAATAATTTATGCTTATGGCTAAGAATGAAAAAAAATATATAAAAAGAAAAAGATTGGAGGTATTCATATTTAAATTATTTGGATTAAAAACTATCAGTCATACCTATTTCGAAAGAAAAATAGAAATATGCAAATTTAAATATTTGTAATAAAATAAGCAAAATGAAAATGCGTATGTAAAATTATTATTAATTCGTATACAATTATTATTTTCATTTATAATTACTAATTTATATAATCACTAATTTGATTTAAAAATAGAAAATAAATGAATAAATAAAATTCAATTCTTCTTAAATCATATCGATCATTTAATTTTGAATTTCTGAAATTAAAATAGTTGAGAGTATGAAAACAAACGATAATTTAAATTTTCTCAAAATTAAACCAGATAAAAATATGACCTATAAATTATCAAATCATTATTGAAATATGTTAAAAATAATCGAATTGAAATGAATTTTTGCTCAAAATATTTTATTTTATTTAATTTTAATTGCATTAAAAATTTTATAAAAAATTTTTCACACACAAATATTAAATAATATTTTCGAAAATGAAAATTCATTTAATGTGTAAATGAGAAAGAAAGAAAGGAAAAAAAAAGGGAGAATTTGTCATGATAAATTACAATAAAGTTAAATTCCATTTTAAATTTATTACGCTAAATAATATGAAATGGCAGAAAAAAAAAAAAAAAAAGGTACCATTAATTGTCACATTTCTGTCCTTCAAAAATTTGAAAAGGAAAATTTGTCAATTGATGGTGACAATTTCATTTCATTATCAATAATGCAATTAACATATTAATGTTATATAAATTGTTAATTGTTATTAATGAAAATTTTAGTTTGATTTATGAAAAAAAGAGTAACATCAAAAGAACCGCTTTGAAACATTATTTATTCACAAATACATATTTACTTTCTTTTTATCTCTTCCTCTCTCTCTCTCTCTCTCTCTCTCTCTCCCTTTTCCTTTGTATAGTTTAAATGTATGAGAAAATACAAATTGAACAGTTGCTGCTAATAAATTTAGTAAAATATTTTTATTGCTAATACTACAATTTTTTTTTTTGTTGGTTTTTTTCTTGGATTTAAAAATTTTTACAATTATTTTGTTAATTTTTTATTTGTTCATTAATGTAATTTAAAGTAATATAAAATTACACCAAAGAAGCAAATAATTTAAGTTTAATTAAGTTTTAATTAACAGATTAATTTAATTGACCAAAAAATATTGCTTTTTGAATTTTTATGACAATTTAAAAATACAGTTTAAAAATAATTTAAAAATTAATTTAAAAATAGCTTGTGAAGAAGTAAATTTCAGAAATAATAGACAAATTTTAAGTCACTGATGATAAATCTTAAATTAAAATTTTTTATCGTTTTGAAAATACAAAAATATAATGTTATTTAATATTTAAATATTATCAAATTTAAAGAATTCATTACCTCTTTGTCATATTTGCAATAAATATTTAAAATTTATCAAATTTTATGATTTAGTTGTAAAAGTTTTCAAAATGAAAAACGTTAAATTTTTAATTCTATTATATATTACTATTATTATCAAACATCAAAAATATTCTTAACAATAAAAAAATTTTTTTTTTATTTAAGATTAATATTATATTACTTACTAAAATGTAATTTTGAAATTAAAATTTATTTTTTTGTTAAAATTCGCAATGATTCATTAAAAATATAAGTTTTTTTTAATTGTTGCAAAATATTTGACAACAAAATTTAATTTAATTCATTTCAATACATTAATTAAAAAATATAATACAATTAATTTTAATTACTATAATAACAATAAGTGTTTATATTTTGAATAAGTATTAAATTTCAAATACAACAATTAAGTATTCATGTTTTATAAATTTGATAAATTGGAAAAATATGAAATTATCTTAGAATGCTCATTATTAGCTTATATAAAGTATTTATTATAAATATACTAAAAATATTATAAATATCGATCATTAGTTACTTATTATTTACTTATCATTTTCATTTCCGATATTGAGTAAAAATATTTCCGATATTTGTCGCTCGTAACAAATAATCTAAATGATATTTGCAAAAATTTCATTCTTTTAGTTCTTAATTTTTAATTTAAAACAAAATAACTTTGCTGTTTCTTTTTTTCAGGATTAAATAATAATACTTTCATTTATAATTAATTATATCGCATATTTATCAATTAATTAATAATTCATTTTTTTTTTAATTTGACGAAGAGAAAATTAAAATTTAAAAAAAAAAAAAGGAAGAAATATTTTCATTTGTGTACAACGAAATTGAGAGAAAAAAAAAATGAATAATGATGACAAAGGGAATTATATAAATTTCCTTTCTCTTTCTAAATTTTTTTTTTTTGAAAAGAAATGAAAGAAAGGAAAATGTCAAAATTAAAAATCAAAATTAAATTTATTTTTTGCGCAAAAATAATTTCTTCCCGCCTTTTCTTTTCTTTTTTTTTATTTAATTCAACCAAATCATACACTATTTGAAATTGTAGGAAATGAATAAAATTAGAAATAATACTTAAGTATCATTAAATTTTTTTCTTTTATTTTTTTATAAAATTGAAATTGAAGAAAAAAAAAATTAAAGTTTATTATTATAAAATTCTTAAAAAGAATGTAAATTTATGAAGAAATTAATTATTCCAAATGACATTATTATAAAAATAATATATTCTCATTTATGTAAATAATTTTAAATAATTTTTTAAATAAAATAACAAAAGTTACTTTTTCCTTATTTTTTTTAAACTTTAATTACTTTGAACTTTTAAGTTTATCTTGAATTTAAGTCATAGGAATACTTTCTGATAAAGTATGATCATAGTTTAATTTACTGTACTACGATAATTTAAAGTATATTAAGTAAAAAAATGTAATTTTGATTCAATGAAAACAAAAATGCTTTTTCAGTCAAAAACTTTTCTAATGAATGATGTGACAGGGTGACATAAAGTTCATCATTACGATGATAATATAAAAATGACCAAATGATCAAGTGACCAAATGACCATTACCCACACTGTTCCTCTTCTTTTTCGGCTTTATCAAAAAGACTTTGATTCAATCAACGATACATTTTCGCCAAATGGCGCAATCAGTCCTAAATCATTGCTGTATATTATATAATACAAAGGTTCTTCCGCCATTTTTTATATACTTTTTTTGCCTCCAAAATATTATAAAATTTTTGTGCTACCATTTGCGCATGTAATGTAATGAATAAATTGTTAAAACTATCATAATAATTTGCAACTATTTCTTGAAATATTTTACCGGAGAGAGCAAAAAAAAAAAGAAATCCGGAAAAAAATTTAAATATTGATTAAGTCCATAGTCATTCAGTAATGAAAATGAAAATATCATCATATTGTCTTTAAAAAAAAAAAAAAATAAAGAAATTTAAAGTTATCTTACTTTTAATATAAGAAGATTAAATTAATTAGTTAAATTAAGATTAAATGTTAGTATTATGACAAAGATTGATTAAGGTAACATTGAATTTGATATATGAAATGAGGAGAAAAAAAAAAAAAAAAAAAGTGACTAATTAGTTTTAAATAAAAATTTTAAATTATTAAATTTATTTTTGTAAATTATCAAAATTCGATGTTTGACGATGATTTGTTTGCAAAATTTGCAAAATTCAAAATTAATTGTTGAAAATTTTGCAGTAACTTCGAGAGAAATCAATAAAAATTGTTTGATTATTAAAGGAATAACTAAAACCATAAATGAATTCTATTGTATTTTGAAAGTTTAAGGAGAAATTTTAACAAATTACTGCAAGTTTAAACTCTTTGAGATTACATTTATCAATTGGAAGTTTTTTATTAAAATCTTTTTGTATTAAAAGATCAATATGTACTGTTTTTAATTAATTAATTAATTAATTAATTAAATTATCTATTTTGAAGAGAGAAATAGAAATTTTTTTCTTTTTTTTTTTGTAGCAAATAATGATGAAATTATGAAAGTGATTTCAACTTTCAATTTTGATTTAAACTAATTCTTAAATTTACAAAATACATTTTAATATACATTTTGACCTTAACACAACAATGAAAGCAATGTTTTTTGTCTCTAAAAGACACTGCGTAAAATTTAAAAATACAAATTTAATTGAATATTTACCCTAAT